GAAGAAGAGGAAGAAGAGGAAGAAGAGGAAGAAGAGGAAGAAGAGGAAGAAGAAGAAGAAGAAGAAGAAGAAGAAGAAGAAGAAGAAGAAGAAGAAGAAGAAGAAGAAGAAGAAGAAGAAGAAGAAGAAGAAGAAGAAGAAGAAGAAGAAGAAGAAGAAGAAGAAGAAGAAGAAGAAGAAGAAGAAGAAGAAGAAGAAGAAGAAGAAGAAGAAGAAGAAAAGAATCAGGCACTGTGTACCCTGGTGCCTGGTGTCTAACCTTAACAAGTGTCGGGCACCTGGTCCTCCCATAGTAAAGGCCATTCAGTCAGGACCAGCAGATGGTGGAGTGGTTATGTCACTGGACTCCAACAAGGCTGACTGTGGCCCGGGTCCCAAACCTGGTGGCTTCAAACTCACAGCAGGTACGAGTGCGTGCACACCCAAGCTCACAGCGGGTGTGTGTGCGTGCACGCCCAAGCTCACGAGGGAGTGTGTGTGCACGCCCAAGCTCATGGCGGGTGTGTGTGCATGCATGCCCAAGCTCACGGCAGGTGTGTGTGTGCACACCCAAGCTTACGGCAGGTGTGTGCGTGCACGCCCAAGCTCATAGGAGGTGTGTGTGCATGCACGCCCAAGCTCACGGCGAGGGTGAGTGTGTGTGCATGCATGCCCAAGCTCACAGAGTGTGTGTGTGCGTGCACGCCCAAGCTCACGGGGGAGTGTGTGTGCACGCCCAAGCTCATGGAGGGTGTGTGTGCATGCATGCTCAAGCTCACGGGTGTGTGTGCGTGCACGCCCAAGCTCATAGGTGTGTGTGCATGCACGCCCAAGCTCACGGCAAGTGTGTGTGCGTGCATGCCCAAGCTCACAGAGTGTGTGTGCGTGCACGCCCAAGTTCACGGCAGGTGTGTGTGTGCACACCAAAGTTCACAGCGGGTATGTGTGCATGCACGCCCAAGCTCACGGGGGAGTGTGTGTGCACGCCCAAGCTCATGGAGGGTGTGTGTGCATGCACACCCAAGCTCACGGCAGGTGTGTGCATGCACGCCCAAGCTCACAGGAGGTGTGTGTGTGCATGCACGTCCAAGCTCACAGGGTGTGTGTGTGTGCATGCACGCCCAAGCTTACAGGGTGTGTGTGCGTGCACACCCAAGCTCACGGCAGGTGTGTGCGCCTACACGCCCAAGCTCACAGGGTGTGTGTGTGTGTGTGTGTGTGTATGCACACCCAAGCTCACAGCAGGTGTGTGTGTGTGTGCAGGCCGAAGCTCACAGTGGGTATGTGCATGCACGCCCAAGCTCCCGGGAGGAGAACACAGGAGCAGAGGTTGCAGCGTGGCACCCCACCAGGTGATATCTCACTTTCTTCTCACTGTCTCTGTCTCTGTCTTTCTCCAGCAAGCACACACACCCTAAGGCAAAAACCTCTCAACAAAAGCTACTGTTGTCATGGGCTGTTAATGACAATCTTTTAAAAAAAAAGGCAGCAACAGAAATATACCATTTCCAGGACCAGCAAGCGGGGTCATGGTTATTTCTCTGGACTCCCACATAGTCAACCGCAGTTTGAGTCCC